ATGTTTGTAAGTGTATACTGTCCGTGCGGCATGGGGCACTCCAAATATGGAGGCGAAAGTCCTCTCGAAAGGTTAGTGGTAGACAAAGGGGGTGGAAGACGCTCGGACCCCTCCTACCAGAGTGCTCTGCATCAAAATTGGGGGTGAAACTGAGTTAAACCGCACTGTCACATGTAAGATGCTCAAATCTGTTGGCAACGACAGGCGAACTTGCGCTCTTTGCCACGAGGAATTTCGTGGGCTTGGGCTGACTATAGGTCTGACAAGTGAGCATTTAAACAGCAGCAACACGTTATATAAAATTAACACTACAAGCAAAGCGAAATAATATACTAAACGCATTGGTTACCAAATATATTGCTGAACACTAGTTATTATCTTAAAATTAACAACAATATAATTTAGATATCTAATGAGTTTGCACTGAATAAACTGTTATTCGCAGCGTAGTTTACGACAAGGTTCAAACTGTAACTACAACAGGGCACAAAAAATCCCCTAGGGGTATAGCCAAAATTCCTTTCTGCATAATGCTATGTTGTTGACAACGATATAGCGTAGAGTTTCAACTGGCAATGCTACATTTTCTCTAAAAGTTCGTAAAAACTGCAGTTCATGCAAAAGATCTATACTATTTATATCGCTTCGATTTTTATCAGTTAATGCTTTTTGCAGTTTTTGACATAAGATGAGCTGATCTTGTAATTATAGTATGTGAATGAATATACGTGATGCCGAGGCTTATGTAGGGGTACAAGGGGCGCTGTAGAAGCGTTCAAAAAATTGCTTAGTCATTATTCTGTGTCTACTGTTACAATCGTAGTAATCTGTGCAACATTTATCTTTTTATGTGATTTTTTTATTTTATTTTTATTTGATTTTTTTATTTGATTTTTTTTTCCTTTGGCGATTGCTTGTTGTTATTGTTATTCTACATAAAAATAGGTAAGTGCAGTTACACATTATGTTGAACTTAGGTTAGCTTTTTAATTCAGAAAAGCGACGATTTGAGCATTAATTACTCGAATTTTGTTTTTACATGAACTATCTCTTTATTAAGCTAAAAATTATGATCTTTCGAGAAGAAAGGATTGACATATTTACGGAGAACCACTGAAAATATACCTATTTCAGATTTGAGGCGAATTAAAAATATACAAAGTATTTCGAAATCAAAAATTGCCCATTTTCCGATTTTTAGCTATGCGGAAAACCGAAGGAAAATGCTTCGTTATTTCATTACATTTTAAATACATACGTACTTTTTTTTTTAATTTGATTTATTTACTTTAATAAACAAAAGAGTACCACCACTTCCTTGAATTATTTGGTCTTGATCTAATAGTTCATATATTTCACAAACAATGGTTTAAGATATACTCTCTTCATTCAGGCGTTCAAACAACACTTTCTCTTATGACATTTATACTAGATACCTTCTGAACAAGACAGAGTTAGACCTGTTATAAATAAATGCATGACTTGCTTACGAACAAGAAACCAAACCATAAACCAAATGATGGAAGACTTTCCTAGAGCTAGAATAGTAACAACTAGATCATTCGAAAAAATAGGTCTAGACTTTGCAGGACTAGTTATCACCAAGCATAACTTGAAAAGATCTAGGGTTACTTTAAATTCATATATCGCGATATTTATTTGGTTTAGTACAAAGGCTATTTATTTTCATTTAGAAATAGTATTGGATTTGTTTACTGAAGCATTTCTAGCATATCTTAGAAGGTTTATTGCCAGGCGGTCCAAACCCTCCAGTGTTTGGAGTGATAACGCTATAAACTTCAAGAGAGCGATAAATTGTTCTTGATAACTTTCTCTTCCTTCGGAGAACTTCGGAGAATTTGTACACCCGATCCTATTCAACGCTTTAGCTCCGAGGAAGGGCCATAACATATAATTTCATTTCTTATTCTTCCCTACATTTCAGCTGATTGTGGGAGGCTAATATAAAATCAATGAAGAGAATTTTTATAAAGGTTGCGAAAGCAACAATTTTAAACGTCGAAGAGCTTTATACATTAATTACACAAATAGAAGCTTCCTTGAACTCTCGACCTTTGTTACCTATTTTGGGTTGATCCAAAAATATTTTGGGATCTTCAGCCATTGACTCCAGGTCATTTCCTAATAAGAGCTCCACTTTTGTCGATACCAGAACGGAATGATTCTGTAGATTCTTTGTCCTTGTCTTCTAGGTGGATCTGAATTAAAACAATTTAGAGCCAATTTCTGGAACCGTTGGAGTGTGGAATATCTGAACCATTTGAGACCCGTTCAAAATGGAATCAACCGAAATTAAACCTCAAAGCAGGATTTGCTGAAGGATAAAAACGAGACATGAATTGGACGCACTGAGGGGATCTTTCCTGGTCTAGATGGACTACTACGAGTCGGACGTCAGAACATCAGATAGAATCTTTCGTCGAGACATTTCCAATATCAGTTCACTTTCTTTCTCAAATGATGTTGAATGACCGTACAATGGGGGCTGGAATATTCCGGTTTGAATACAAATTTTCCCTTGCCTCTAAATTGCAACAGTCTAAGAACTTGTTTTCCGATTTGTTTTGACACAGCTTTGAATGCTGATAATGAGATGTTAGATTAGATTATGGAATTTGTGATATTCAATTAAATTCATTTTAAAACTAGGTTGGGTATTTTGAATATATAATTATCACTGAACCACTATTTGTAGAATATTAGATGCTGCTTGTCTTAAACAGAATCATTGTTGAACTTCGGAGATACGCAGCGCCATTTAATATCAATGAGAACAATACATAAGATTTTGGTTAATGTATGTATATTTGGCTAATGTATGTAATGTATGTATGTCACATGTATGTTTTATATGCTCATTTCATTGAAAAATTTGTTTTGTTGTAATCTCTTTCTTAGATGTATAAAATAACGGAAATATTGATCTTATTATCAGATATATTGTTATCTATTACTTAAGCTATAGGTTTTCTTTCATTCAGTACTTTACGGAAGAATTATAGAGGAGACTTGAATTTCTTAAACATGTAATATGCCTACCAACACTCCGGATTTTTCATCATATTTCTCCGGTCTGCGACAGATCACCGAATTTCTCGATTTTAAACTTTTACCCTTTAGTTAGAAAAATGCTTCTTAGTATTGAACGTAATTCATTGAATTAATGACACTTAAACTGCGAAAATTCCATTTCCCTACCCTTAGTGATTTTCATCATAAATTTCCTCATAAATTTGACTTGTTCTGAATTGTCTTAATCTACCGCAGGCATTTGTAGAACATTTTATGAAGATTCAACTAATGTTTAATTAGTTAATATTTGTATTTAATTTTGTTTTCCATCAATAAATGTTACATTACAAGTTTATTCACATAGTAATATGTAAATTCAATATGCATTTTATCTTGATCACATTTAAAGTACTTTAATAAATAAACGTTTTCCTTCCTTACTCAAGATCTTATCAGTATAAAAGTGAAAAAAAATTACAGATGAAACTAACCAAGAAGCATAATTGAATAGTAATATAATCTACATTAGAATCACTCTATAATTAGTTCAAAAACACGAATCTTGCATTATGAAGTCAATTTGCAGTTCTTTTGAAATAATTTCGCCGCGCATAGCAAAACACTCTTCTTTTTTATATTTCAAAGTTGTTAGTTATGCTTTAGGCATATAAGGTATTTCTCCCGCCTTCTTAGCATGCCTTCGGGGTGAAATGGCCAGTACACTCGACGTGGATTCGAGAGGTTCGAGGTTCGATTCCCGTCGTCGGCATTGCTCATTTTTCATCTCTCCTATTTCAAAATAACCTAATATCTTTACAGTGGCGCCCAAACTAAAAGGGTGGTGGATAATGATTCTTCACCACCAGGATTTGGCGATTGGGTTTCCTAATCCCCAGTCGCCCTTTAAAAGCGGGAATATATAAGGTATTTCTCCCGCCTTCTTAGCATGCCTTCGTGGTGAGCACACACGGCGCGTATTCGAGAGATTTGAGTCCTGGCGAAGGCATTGCTCATTTTTAAAGTCTCCTGCTTCGAAATAACCCACTGTCTCTACAGAATACTAATAGATACCACTTCATAGATAAATCTGTGCAAAATAATGAACATGGATTTGAAATGAAGGAGAATGCAGATTTCGTTTTTGGATAAAATTTAATTATTAGAGAAAGAAAAGCACTTTTTACATTCTTGTATAAAGTAAAAGAAGTATTGTAATAGCGAAAAATTTCTGTTATCAAATTTCAACGAAAGTAATCTATTTTGAGCATTTCCGAATCCAATTTGACTATTTTTTCGCATGACCTCTAAACGTATATATATACACATTTACTATCTACCAACTGTGTTGATTGCAAGTTTTTATGCTTTTTTTCGAGGAATATTCATGTGCGGAAGGAGAGTTTACTTCACATCAAGTATTACATCATACGAGAGCCCTTGAGACGAGGATTATTTTGATGTCAAGTTCCATTAAAAAATAATTTTGAATAAATAAAAAAATCTAACTTTTAATGTGGTCTTTCAGGTCCTATACTTATATTTAGGAAAGTTTTATATTCATTATGAAAAAATGAAGTACAAGAAGTTTGACTAAATTGCGACATAAATTGACTGGAACATTTAAACTCAAAATTTGAAATTTTTTATGTCTTTTCAGCTTGCTTTGAGGAATCGGTTAATTATGTTAGATTAATTCGGGTAAATATGTTTAAATGACGTGCAGCAAAAAATTTGTATGATTTAATAGGCCGTATAAGTATGTCATGTGGTGTCCACATCAGATTTTTTAAGAATAAAAAGGTTTTGACTAAATCAAAAAATTTGTACTTCCTTCGAACAACAAGAACTGAATGTTATGTAATTAGCTTTCATTAAAAATTTATTTAATTAAAATACTCATTAAATTACTTATAAATTAAATAATTAATTAAAATACTGATTAATTAATATGCATTAAAAATATTTACCTTGTGGAGGTACTGTGGTATGAGATTAGAAAGAGCTTTGGCTGTGGCGGGTGCTTTTTCTGAAGGTTTGATGATAGCACAGTTGCCTGCTGCAATAGCGCCCAAAAGAGGTATTGACACTAATAGAAAAGGGTAATTCCAAGCTCCAATGATGAGCACTACTCCATAAGGTTGGGGGAAAATGTATGTTTTGTCTAAGATCAGAATAATATTGGTTTCCGTCTAGAAAGGAAACATAAATATTTATTTTTCAGACCAGTGGTATAAATGAAATAAAAAGTATTAAAAATCCGGAAATAAAGAACTAGTTATTTATTTTTATAATTCTTTTGTACCAGAAATTCGAACAAATTTCCATTACGATATAACATAAAACTTTTATTATAAATAATCATTTGAAACATTTCCGCTTAAATTACTGCAGAAAGCATAGTAAAATTAGGCCTTTTTCTTTAAAATGTTTACAGCGCCAGTAAGAGAACTACTTGTAGAGCAGATTAAAAACATTGTTTCAGGTGATCAATTCAAAATTTCTTCAAATTCACAAACATATTTAAAATATCTTTGCTTCATTTTTCTTTAATTTACTCTTATTTCTTTCTCTCTTTTATACATGATTCTGACTACTTTTATTTTTATCAAGGGCTACTTCTGTTGCGTTTCTTACATTGCTTTAGATGTTTTAGTGGTTTTTTGCTTAGAAGTGCTCTTTAATTAAATGAAAAACTTGTTTAAAATGCTGATTTTTCATTTTTTCAAAATGTCATTAATTGAATTAGCTTGTTTAGATTTTTTTTGCATTTGTTAAAAATATAAAAATTAAAAAATCAAATTTTTTTTACTAATCATACTCTTAATATACTCTTCTTGGCAAAATATCAAATGATCATACTATAATTATTTTTACTACCACAAGATTACAAAAATTTACTTAATAAAGAAATGTTATACAGTGAAGCGATCTACACATGAGTTTAAGGCAGAAAACTAAGAATATTGAAAAAGTGGATTAAAAACACATTGTCTGCGTTTTATTTATTTTGGGGAATGAAACAGAATTACTTGGGAGCTGATTCAGAGAGCTTAAAAATTGAAGCAACTGAGAAATTTTATGACCCAATGATGCAATAAAACATTCAAATGAACAGATATTTGATGTAATTTTTATGCTTACTTCTAATGTAGAAATGTTAAATTTGTTGTTAAACACGATTTTATTCTACAGTTTCCCAATCAACTCCTCAGTTTAAAGTGTGGAATGTTAATTATAACATAGCAAATGCACTCAAGTTCCTATTTATTTTAGGTTTAAATCAATATGCGTGCATTATATTTATTTCCTATTTAATGCACTGAATAACCACACTTTTACAGTAAAATTTTAAAGTCAGATTTATATATATATATATATATATATAATATTGTATGATCTTAAATTCATTTAGTGCGAAAACAAGTTACTACTACTTGCGCAATTGCTGCAAAGTAAGTTAATAATAATTTATTTCCTAAACAATTGATTATATATATATTTGAAAAATTCTTATTATTCTTCATATTTAAGAAATACTAGGGAAATTTTCAAAAATTATAACAAGAAGTCTTTCACGTGTTTTATATCTCTTCAATAAAAACGACAGTTGTAAATTATATATTAAAGCAGAATGCGCTGAAAAAATACTTACAGGTTCTGGTTGAGCCCATTTATGTATTTTGTAGAGGACGCCTTTAATTTGATTTTTTGTAGTTTCTACTTCAGCTAATAACGCTTCGGTTAGAGGCTGTATAGAAAAATATATTAAAATGACTAAAATTAGTATTCTAACACTTGCATAATTAAAATTTACTGAAGAAGTTTAGTATACTGAGAATTAACAACAATTAAAACTTTAAATAAAAGCATTTTAAACCTCTTTAATTCTCTTGTTTAATTTAGAATTTACAAGAAATTTCTAATTAGAAAAATCTCATTTGAATTCGTGTGAATAAATCTTAATTGAAGCTAAAATTGTGTGAACATGTATTTGCATTAAAATTTATTAATCGAATTCAGTGTATCCAAGAAAATTTTAACTGGAGTTAATATCAATGAAATTATTGATATTTAAATATTAAATATTTATTATTTTTTACTAGAATTCTACTATTTAGTACTAAGCACTTCGGTAGTTTACCATTATCAAATAGATAAGATTTCGTCTTCTAGAAGTAGAATTTTACGATTCAAAATATAGAAATTCGATATTATTAAGGCCTAATTAATTTCCATGAAAACACTTGTATGAATTACATTTGTTTCTTTAATTTCTTCAAACTTCCGGATTTTCTAAAATTATAAGATTAATGTCTTATAACTGGTATATTAGTTAACGCATTAGAATGTTTTATTTTTCTATTTTTTCTAAAATACAAGTTTTGTATGTAAGCTACCTTCTTTAAAAATTTCAAAACAGTAGTGATAGATTTTTTTTTTTTTTTTTTTTTTTTTTTTTTTAAGTGTGTGCGGTTAACATAAAAATTATTTGAAGAAAAACCAACCATTTTAAATATAGGTTAAAGACTTAGCATAAAATTTTGGCTATAAGACAATCATACAGAAATAAGGTATGAATAAATGCCCTTTCTGATTTCAAAATTTTACTATAGCTCAATATTTACATCGAGATTTAAAAAAAAAAATACATACGAAGAAAAAGAAAAAATTCAAAAAGTTCTTATGTGATAATCATTCTTAATATGTACTACGCAAATTCGGTCAGATGGAATGTTGCTTCATACTGAAAACGCACTTGTCCATAAAGGTCTCCTCATCATCTAACTTGCCGAGAAATCAGCAGCACAAATCATAATACTTGTCACTGTCCATAGATTTTTAGTTTTGCTCAGTTCTAACATCCAATAGTTTATTTAATAGTTCAGATTTAGTGTCTAGTGAATTTAGATTGTGTATCCAAGATAGCCGAAGCCGAAAGATTTTCCGAAGAATTTTCCAGATAATCGATTTTATGGCGCCACACTGCACAGAATTTCATTCAGTACTAGATTATAATTAATACTCGTAAAACTATTAAGATTTCTTTTTTTAGTATGGTTTATATATACATCAATGCATTTTTAATTACCTGCGAGTAATTTATGTGTTGAAAGTGGACAAAATGTTTATAGAACAACCTGTATTTTCTAATTCAGACAAAAATAACTAATACAAAAAATATGCAAACACGTTCGCGCACACAATTGTAATCTTATTTTTAATAGCTACTTGAACCTTTTATTTGTTTCACCTTATGTTTCATATAAAAGGAAAACTAAAAGAGCATTAATACTGATGCGAAGAATTAATTTAGCTAAGAGTAAAGCATTTTTAAGCCCCGCGGTTTCAATGCAAAACACCCTGAAAGGGATTAACATAATATTTTTCAATTAATCAAGATTAAAAACTATTCCCTCACGAAAAAAATATTTTAACATTTTTATATTTATTATCCCTTGTATGAATAAAATAATAACATTAATAGATTTAAAAAAAGGAAAAGCAGATTCAAAATTACTTGCAAACGTATGGAAAAAAGAATCTCTTTCTCTATCTTTTTTTAAAACTAAAGCTAACAGTTTTTTAAAGGTATTATTATAAATAGCCAAAATATAAGCCAAATTATGATTTTTCAGGTGTGATTCATTTGTTTAATAAAATATACAAACTGCATATTTAATTGTTTCTCCTTCCTCTCAACGAAAAAATATGATGTTTTTTTATAATTTATTTAAAGAAAAAGAAATCCTTGTGCATCACAAAGTATCACACGAAACTTAGAAATCGTAAGTAAAAAGAAGGCAAAATTGTAAGTAATAACATCAATTTTCAATAATACAATGAAATTATACACAAAGAAAAAACACACACACAGGAGTAAATACAAAAGCATAAAAATATATAAAGAAATCATTTACAATGTTTAAAATAAATGTCAACAAAATCGTTAAAAGCTCAGTAGGCCGAAGCTGGAGATACAAAATCATAACATTTCGGCGGCCAATGAATTCCAATTAATTTTAATCTGCATTTCAATAGATTTCTTGCTTTATCAAGCAATGGGCAGTTAAACAGGAGGTGGAAAACACTTTTGCTGAATGCTAAAATATTCAGTGGACGGATCAAGTGAATTATCTCGGAGTCACGCTTGACAAAAAACTCACTTTTCGGCAACATTTACACGAAACTGCCAGGAAATCCACTATCTCAATAGCTACTATGCGTCCTCTCCTCGGCAGACATAACAATCCGACTATCAACAATAAACTTGCTTTATACAAGTCCATCCTTAGACCTACTTTACTTTACGCCAGTCCGGTACACGCCGCTAAAACTCACATAAAAAAGATCCAAGTTATTCAAAATAGAACCCTTCGTGAAATTATTAATGCACCCTGGTTCATCCCAAATTCATATATTCACAGAGATCTTCAAATTGATACTATACAAAATTATATCCAAAAACTTGCAACAATTTTTTTCATTTCTGTACTATTACATCCAAACAGCTGTATCAGTTCTTTGCGATGCTCACCTTTTCCTAGAGAAAAACACAAATATCCTTTGGATATTTTGTTAATTATTTGAAGTACTTACTACCTTATTGATCCAACTTTTTTTCACATTGCTTGTCTATTTTCATTCATTACATTTTTCTTCGCAGACTGATGGTGGCTAAGTGAAATATCCCATTCTACCATCTAGATTCTTCTTATCACACATTTGTTGTTCCAGACATTCTTTTATCTGATGCAGAGTAAAAGCGCGCTGTCACTCTCTTTCCATTCGACACAAGTCAAGAATGCTAAGATTGCAATAACACAAATTGGAAGACGTGGCTTAAACCGTTGAAGATAAACATTAAACTTACCATGTCCAAACAAAAATTGCGTAACTTTAATAAAATTGAGCAACAAGTCCTTACTTTTCAGTCTTTCAAAAATAGTTGGGAAGAATGTTTTTGTAACAGATCCCTTATCAGAAGAGATATAATCACAGTTCCATTGCTCAATTATTTTAGTTTTGAATGTTTTTTTGAAATAAGATTTTGGAATATTTACATCAACATTAATGTAATTTTTAGTAATGTAAAAATACCAGGATTTGGTGTTTTGTCCCCAAATATTAGCTCAAGCTAATATTCGCTCACCTGGACTAGTCTCAACACATTTGCTCTGATTTTAAGCTTTCAGACTGTATGTCACTCATTTTTAACCGAAATTTGACAAAGATTAAACATGACATGATAAACTGAAAAGTATCTGAAGAAATGATGAGTTGACTATACAACAGATAACCCGATAAACAGAAATGGCGAAATTTGTGGTGTGCTGCCAAACACTTTTGTGTTACAAGATCCGTGAGCATAAAAATTGCTATCAACTGAAATGTAGTATTACAAGGAGACTTTTCTTATTTGTTAACTTATAATGGATTTTTTATAACAAAAATACTATTTCAATTTTTCTTTTTAATTTTATGCGAAATCATCTGAGGAATATTTGTTGTTGGAGTTTCTAATCCTCTTGACCTGAATATGTAGCCAGATCAGGGGTCCACGAATTTTATTGTGCCAAGAAGCAAAGATTTGCGCCTGTGGTTGGTTTAGACCTGGGACCCGTAACAGGCAACATTGTGAATCTAAGGAATACAGAAATCCTCATTACTTCTGTTTATAAATAACAACGAAATTACTTCATAGAAGTGACTATTCAAATGGCAGATATTATATTAACAAAGTTTCTTGCATTAAGATTATCAACTTTTAAAGAAGCATGCTAGCGATCTCGATCTCTATACATAAAAGAATTTACTATTACAACTACAAAAGATATCAGATATTAAACCGGGTGGCTGGAAACCCTGCATTGATTTTCGCTGCCACCATAATTTGACTTATTTACTTATCTTTTGTGCAATGGTAAATGCTGTCATAAAAATTTCAGCAGAGTTTTTCTGTAGAGAGTGAGTAGATGCATAAGATCGAATATAAAAAATAACACTTGTTGTTAAAACGAATTCGAGTTTAAATTAATGCTACAACGATCTGCAATCCGCAGAAGAAATTCTATGATATTTCGAATTGATTGCTGGTTATATTCTCGCCATACTATATGCTTCAGGATAATTTCAGATTATATATATAAATATATTATAACTCTATAACTAAAAGAGGTTTTAGACTTACCTTTCTCAAATCTTTTCGAATAGCATCCACTAATTCGTCGCCGTGTTCTTCTAATAATCTATAAAACGCTTTCAGTTGGCTTACCCGAAAATCGAGAGGTATCGTCAGTTGTTTATTAAAGGAATTTCTTGCTGTTTTTACAACCTATAAAAGTAACATTATCGAAGAAACATTTCAAAATACGTATTCATTATTGTTTATTATACTGAAAGCACAACATGGAACAAAGAACATTTAAAAAGTATCATCCAGTTAATTTATGTTAAAATAACACGCCGAACAAATATTAATTTAGAATTCAAATAACAAAAATAAGTATTATATTTGCAAATTTTCACACGACTAGTTTCGATGGTTTTACCGAACCATCATCCTCAGCTGCCAAAGCGCAAATGAATATGTATCATCCATTTATAACAGGTATGTTTCAATGATACTATTTTTAATACACAATGCGGAAAAGTTAATTTTTGTTGATTAGGTTAAGTAATAAAAACGTTAAAATTATCGACAAAAGTTGATGATTATTAATAAGCCCAAAAGCAAGAATTTTCGCAGTTCATTTAAAAATCTCTAGTTTGGAATTTAATATTCCTGCATTCCAGAATGTCCGGATTTGAGATTTTTGCGCCGCATATAACTTAGTCCTGAACGTTGTCAAAGAATAAAGAACCGATATTTTCCTACGTCCTATTATAGTTGTGTGTGTAATTATGGCAAAGCCTCGAGGGCTATCTGCCTAAGAGGAGGGATGCCTTCGTGGAGGACGTTCTAAGGGAAACTGGCTCGTATACACGTTACACATGGGGAAAACCACGAAAACGCCCATGCAGCCAGCCCGTTCGCGGGATTCGAACCTCGGACCGAACTACCAGTGTTCAGGGACTTTACCGCTCGGCCGCTGGTGGGCCCCTATTATAGTTAGGTCTATTCTCAAAAAGTTAACGTAAGATGTTCATGAAAATAAAGATCACTGTGCAGACTGGGGTATATTATATAATTTGGATCATTTGAACATTGGTCCTTAACAAGATATTCATAAAATCTTCAGAAACTGTTTCGCCCTATAGAGTAATTTTCACATGATCTTTGAGAGTAGAAGCAAAAGTATCTGGGAAGTAACGGAGATTATTCTATGAAAATCACTTAGAGCACACACACTATTTTTTTAAGCATTTTCAGTGATTCAGAACTTCATCAACATTGAGTTCTGATAATAAAAATTTCAATTTTTCTTTTCGCTACCCCTGTTCAAGATTAAAAGCATTATAAAATACATTTTTGTATCTGCAAAATGCATACAGAGCAGGTTTAATTTAAATTTAAACGTATGATTAATGTAAGTTTCTTCTTCGTACAAATGTTGTTTACTTTTTTGTAGAAGGGCTGTTTACTTCTTTGATCAAATGCAGTTAAGTTTGCTGTTCGTTTTCGTAAGTTCATCACTGTCTCGAAAAATTACTAAATATTTTGTTCATATTTATGAAACTTTTAGTAAAACATACGGACACCATTAATCGAAATCGAAGTTTCGTAATGATGTTTTTGATTATAATGTCCAGGAGTACTAATGGCAGCAAAACATATTCGTACTGCATTGAATCAGGAAGTTCTGTCTATAGTGATGCAAATAAATATCTATAGAAATGCAAATAAATACCTGTAGTGATGCAAATAAATGTACTAGTGTACTTTAAACATGTTGAAACAGATTTAAATCTATTGAATGTAAAACTGAGGCGCTACATTTGGTTGATTCTTTCGCCTTCAAGATATTCTGACGTCAGTAAGGTGCAGTAGAGAACAGAATTATAATCATTTGAATGAGGCTATGATCTATTACACTCCTAAAAGAGCTTCACATAAGTATTAAGAAGTTTATTTTTGATAAAGATAGTTTCATCGGTAAAGATATTTAGAGAGGTTATTTAAAATGGCCTCCTTCTCTATAATTCCATCACCTTCGCATCGATATTTCTCTATGGCGTTGTCAGGATTACATATTATTTTCCTCTCTCCAGACTTTAACCTAAACAGAGTTACTTTCCAAAGAAAATATAGGCTCGTCATTAAGCGTAAGTAGGCTTTATTCCGGGAAATGGTTCTTAACCAGGCTAAGATTCTCCTCTAAAAGGAAAGCTTTAGGGCAGAATGCGGTCAGTCCTTTATTTAGCTATTAGATATTTATATTTAGTTTAGGAATATTAAAAAAAAAAAAAAAAAAAAAAAAAAAAAAACTTTTGGTATTTATCAATATTGTCAACACTTTTTATTGTTTAATTTATGAAATGCATTAAAAATAATCTAAATCCAAATAAATGTATGTATGCATTTTTCGAGTTTTGGAAAGGAGGGAGGAGAGAGAACGCATGAGGTAAAACAGTCTGAGAGCCACTGCTCTAGTGAACAGCAATCAACTCCAATCACGATGTTCTCAGCATCGTTCTAACCAAGCACTTTTCGAAACTTGAATTTAACGGGAGACAAATTATTGGTCCTTTCTCATAGACTTCTTTAATAAAGCTATTCGCTCACAGTGTTTCATTATATTCAAGATCTTATGTTTATAATTAATTCCCTTACAATCTGTGAAAAAACTTATAGCTTAGAAAAAACTTAAATGGTCTGAGATGCAGTTGTGGTATATTTTCGTCCTTGGCCTGAGCATTGAGATTCATCACTGGTGTGTCTGCATTATTTCCATGTTACTAAAAAGACACTTTTCGTATTTAAATAACTGTATACCTTTTTCTGTTTTAGTCTAGCTTCTAGCCTCTCGAAAGCAAGTCTTTTTAGATAGTTAAATATTTTGTCTAAGATACATTTCATTATCCATACTTGATGTTGAGTGGCATATTCTCTATTAACATGACAGAGTGTAATGCTTCAACAATTCGCAGATTATTACACAGTATCGGACCCTTTTAAATTATTCAGTGACATTGACATTATACTACCATATATATAATTTTGTAGGCTCGGACAGTAGTACCAGTATTATATTCATTTCTGTGAAAGTTTCTTTAATTTTTCACAACAGTGTGTTAATAGCAATACGTTCTCAGTCATTTTTGGTTTAATGAGACAATGTCTTGCGCGAATGATGTACAAAATATTAAATTACTGTAATACTGAAGCAATACAGGGTCACCTTTATCGATATAAAGTTATTGATCCGGTTATCATATCATTGCCTCGGATGAGTTTGAATCATGGAAAAAGGTAGCTATTTGTAAATGTATAATGTGCTTGTGGCAATAAAATACCATCCAATAGAAAGTCCCACAATGAGATCTAGTAGAAAAGGAAACTCTTGAAGCCGTTCCTGAGCCTATTCTTCCTAAACTCAGCTGGGTAAACTCGTACTTTACCTATAAAGTACTTTTGCGAGCGTAAGGTTCGTAATAGTTTGAATGCACACAGGTCCGATAGGTTGGTGAAATTTATTTTATCAAAAGAAACACGTCAGAGTTCTGGAACTTTCCACGGAAATACTCATACAAGTGTTCCCAGTACCATACAGTACAGTCAGTATTTACACTTCAAACTACTAAGAATGTTAAACACAACGCAATGCAAAGCACATCTAAAGAGCGAAGCTAACCCACAGATATCTCAGAACTCCGAACTCACACTGAACGAAATGTTCACAACAATTGAGGAACTGATGCTTTCTCCGGTCTCACACAGTTTTTATCCGGCCGCTGAGTTATTTTTAGTACGTTTTGCTTCTCGAAATTACTAGGAGGCATGTGAAGGCTGAATAAAGTTATAGTTACACAAAGCATCAATTACAGTTATTCAGTTACAGCATCTGTTACATTTCTACAGGAACCGGACCAAATGGTAGCCAATTTTGGCGACTTTGGGTGATTTCTTGCCAAATGTGGCGACAAAATTAGTGGCCAAAACCGTTAACTCAGTGTTAAATAGGCTTGCCTCTGTACTCTTATTTTTCCGGCAAAGCGTCATTTCTATCAGCTTTTCATGTTACAGGAAAATACAACAACTTCACATATAACTTGAGTAAAAGTATCTGTCTTGTGTACAATATTCGTGACAGTACCCACGATCGTAGCCAACTACAGGCACTATCTCTTTCTCTTAGCCACAATGAATTTGTGGAGCTGCTTTGGATTGTGTTTTGATCATAAGAATTGCTAACAAGTAATTTAGAAACTGAAACAGAATTTTACTTTTAAACAAGAAGGTAAATTTTATTACCATAATGGATTCTTACCATCATCTAACTAAAAGCTCGAGCAAAATTCAAAAACCGAGCGATAAAAATAACAGCAATAAAAAAAGGGAGAGAAAGCTTCGGGTGAATAGCACATATTATTTTTCCTTCTTAGCAACAGAAGAATATTTCTGAGTGAATCAAATTTCTGCTATTTCTGTTCTAAACCACTTCTGAAAGTTCGTATCTTGTATAATTTAATTAATAAAAAGTAAAACTAGTTAATAAATATGACGACTTTAATTTGTGTTAGGCGTAGTGTTCCTAAAATCTTAGAACTGCATAGAAAAAAAAATACCATATTACTTTGAATTTAAGCCACTATAAGATTTTAATATGGGGAAAAAGAAAAAAAAAAAAAAAAAAAAAAACAGCCGTCCTCGAATTTAAGCTCAATAGGATTTAAAAATGGCGAAACAAGGAAAAATTATAATAAACATGGGAAATAAGGAACATTTTTATGTACTTAAATAGGTTTCAATATAAATATAATAAACTACATAATTTACTGAGAAATTTTTACACGTACAATATATTAAAATATTCTTTTAAAATGTAATCCTATTTTTATGCACCCTATTTATAATGTTTAAAAATCTGAATAAGAAATGAGTCTTAAATTCTAAGTGATGCAGTTATTATTTAAATTTCTTCAAACATACAAGGGATACTGCTCATCATTAGGAGCAACGAGTTGAGATCAAAGCTCTTAAATAACCATATTTTCAACGTAATTATTTTTGGTAATGATTTCAAATATTAAGTTATAAGAATACCCTTCAAGTGTAGATAGCTCATAAATAATGAAATTAAAAAAGCCGTAAATGAGTATCTAAAAGTTTATTTGATTTTATAACTTTCACAAAGGAAAGAAAAATTATAATTAGATATATTCTTATAGTATGTGCTTGAATGGTAATTTAGTTGACAACATTCCTTCTTGGCCGGAAATACTCTTATCGAAAAGCAAAACCAGTTGGCAAAAACTACTTAAATTGGCTTTAGATGCAACTCTTGAACTCAGGAACATTTCAGGAGAAAATGTATGTCAGAAGAAAGTAGAACAATTGCAAGCTGTATTGCTACTTTGTTTTCACGTGCTTAAACACGTGCATCGATCTCTACAGACGGTATTACCTCAGTTTAGATTCTTTAAACTGGTTTCAATCAGTTTGTTTCACGCTAAACATGCCAAGAGCTCAAATGGAAACCAGGGTTCTCTGAAACGAAACTAGTGATATATAAGGGAAAGTTGAAAATTTCGCCTTCTGATGCAAGATCATTTGTTTCTGTGGAAAAAGGCAACGGTCATCGTTGCCCTTTTAATAATACGGATTGATAAACCTTATTACTAAAAGCGAGATTAATAATTCAAAGTTTATCATCAAGAATTCTGTAATGGAAGAAAACTAACAGTAAATTTATTTTGGTCAGCTGAAACAGAAAAAGATCACTTCTACTTTCAGTATCATATTTCAGATAATTGTTTTTAATAATTAGTTTTTAAAATCCTTAATATTTCTTATAGTACATTACACTTGTATCCTCGCATAGTGAATTTAAAAGCTGTATAAAAAAATGCTTCTGTAACATAAAAACAAAAAAATGTTGGATCTAGTCGTAACTTTTGCACTTTGATTTTAATCGTAACTTTTGCACCAGAAGTCACAATAAAATGAATGTAAGACGCAAAAGTTCCACAAATTTTGCTATGATGAAGGAAAAAAAAAAAGTTTTTCACATGGCGATATAAGTGTATAATGTCTCACGGTATGGGGGCACCTTGAAATACTGCTGAGCTAAAATTCCCTGAGAGACGTTTGGATCTGCCCCTGGGAAGATCTCTATTAAAACTGCAACAGAGCTGGATAGTTTCACTTGTAAAATGTCTATAAAAAGCACAGGAAAACGAGAGGCGCTGTTCCTTGCCTTTTGCTCATGATGAAAATTCGTGGACATAATCGGGTTAAGATTTAAATCAGGAGGATTAGTAGCAACAACTCCAAGATAGGCAGAAATAAATGCACATTCATCGGAGCATTTTATCCATTCATGCAACATTTTTATATTGGTGATTTTAAATTTTCTTTTGTAGGAATCAATCCCGAATAGTATTCCAAACTACTGTACATAAAACACCTTTGTGGAATGGGAGTATTGTAACTGTAAATGTGAGTTTACAAAAAATGCATATAGAGATTTTATATTATTTTATTATTAAATTGGATTTCTTCGTTAGATTTTAAAATACTTGCATTTATTATGATTAGTTTTAGGTTAATTAAAAATTTGTAGTGACTGATCACAGAAAGGAACTAAGGCTAATGCAAAATACACTTAATCAACTGAAAATATTCGACAAAAAATATCTAAAAGTATAATACTTAAATATATTTACATTAACGATTTATAAAAAAATATTTAGATTAGCAGTTTGCGAAAAAAAGGGACATTATCTAGTTTTCCATTGCTATTTTAAAATAATACAGACTTTCTGAGATACTATTCTCTGTTCTTTTATTTATCCATTCAGAAATAACATTTTTGCAATTCCAGATATTGTTAACAAAATGTGTTAAAACAAAATGCAGCAATTTATTATTATTATTTATAATTGTAGCAGATGAATATCACCAGTCACACAAGATTAACAATTTTGAATTCAGTTTGATCAAATCTTCTGTTTCCGTTACATAAGAAGAAATTTTCAGAATGTAAATGCTTATCTTTAATACTTAAAATACTTTAATACTTTTCGCTTTCGTCAAATGTTCTTCACCCATATGAAATTTTAACAAAAAATACCCGATGAGGAAAAAAGTAGAGAATCATTTAGTTTAATTATAATTCTCAAATTTAAGCTTTCATATGATGAGCTTAATGAGACGAAATTATTTACTCATTAAAATTTAGTAAATAGAAACAAATTGTTTAAAAAGGTATTGTTATTAGTCTTATGTCCGATACGGAAACAAGCAAGAATATTAGACACTTACCTCCGAATAGTTTGCCATTCTACTTTTCGATTTGCTAGATGGTGCTTCACTCTGTGAGGCAGAAAAATATGCTTATTTAAAAAGACAGGAAATTTTTTATAAAGTAACATTTATCGACGCAGAACATTCAAACGGAAAGAATGCAAATAATTCAAAAAGAAGGAGGAAAATTCACTAAGTGTGCATTGTCTAGAAATATCCTTATTATATTAAATATTATCTATCCTATTACTAAAACAATAGGAAAAAATTCAAACTTCTTCAATTTTTTCAAATTAAATCTAATATTTACTTTTATTAACCTATTCTAAAAACGTGATGTTTCAGTCTGATGACATAGAAATATCCTCATATTAGACGTACTTATTTTCAAAACGATCAGTAAATAATATAATTTAGCAAAAGTACCATCCCAATTTATTCATTAATTTATTCCAAAAATTATTTTTAACATTATTTTTGCTTTTTGAATTTAGAAAATTCTAGTAAAAGTAATTTGCCGATATGATAATCGCTCCTTAACTTGTTCATAAAAGTTCTCGAAACTTTCTAAATAAGTTTATTGCTGTTGATAATCTATAATACTGGCCTAAAAATTAATTCATCAGAGCCAGAAATTATCCAATACGGTCCAAAGCTAAAGATTTTACTGTACTGATAGACGATAATGCATGAGAGCAAGTAAATATGAGAAAAGCTGCACTGCACTGTGAATTTTATATAGGCTGTCCAACATTTACTATCACTCAATATAAAATTTTTCGACTTTTAAATAATGCAACAGCTGTTACAAAACACACTCCTATAAATACTGAATCTTGATCCTTTTCCAAGATAGCAAGGGGGCCCACCAGCGGCCGAGCGGTAAAGTCGCTGAACACTGGTAGTTCGGTCCGAGGTTCGAATCCCGCGAACGGGCCGGCTGCATGGGTGTTTTCGTGGTTTTCCCCATGTGTAACGTGTATACGAGCCAGTTTCCCTTAGAAAGTCCTCCACGAAAGGCATCCCTCCCCTTAGGCAGATAGCCCTAGTGTGCTTTGCCGTAATTAAATACACACACACCAAGATAGCACCAAGACGTTACAAGATAGCAAGACACACACCAAGACGTTACAAGATAGCAAGAGCTTACAGATAAGTATACAGCGCTTAAGAGATGAGAGCTGACAGAAAAGCAATAGGATGATTCTACTTCGCACACAAGAATACATACCGAAAGAAAGAAACCAAATTTTCAGCCCAAATTTCTTATGTAATTGAAAGGCACCATGCCTGCTAAACCTTTAACAGATGTCGCCCTGTTGCCCCAATCCCGTCTGAAAACTATCTTAAGTCTCATGTCTTATCAGAATAGGCTAAGACTATTTTGATAATATTGTCTGTCGACAATAGGCAGATGCAGAGTGCATTTTTTTTTTTTTAGTCACAGAAATACGCATTCCTAATATGAGTTTTCAAGTTCATAATCTGTTTTTTTTTTTTTTTTTTTTTTTTTTTTTCAAAGAGGATTATGTCTTCTTAACCTTCAAGTGTCGATACGATTGCGGACGGTAAACCGACAGCTGTACAGCTGCTTACCGACAAGGAATTTAGCGAGGAAGTCCAATTACTCAACAAAATAATCAGCAAACAGCATGTTTAACCTACAATTCATTTAGACACGTTTAACTGACAGACTAAATGACCTATCGGCTAAGTGTCATGGTTAAGTACCATGCCTATTTTGATGCGACATGAGACACGTTTAATTGACAGACTAAATTACCTAATAAGTGTCATTATATATGTGTAAAGTTTTTGCCAAAATATACGCGCCGTCAACTAAACGTGTTATCCCCTAAACACGTTGTTGCATAAATGTTCTGTTGGCTAAATGTCTTGTCCGTTAAACATGCTGTCGGCCAGTGGCGTAGCTAGGGTGGGACAAAGGGTCCGGGCTGTCCCCGGGCGCAGTGTCCAGGGGGCGCCAAATTGATGGTACGAAATTCTAGAATGAAATGTTTTCCATTCGTGGCACACATAGAGGGGCGCAAAATTTTTAGTTGTCCCCGGGCGCTGAAAACCCCAGTTACGCCTCTGCTGTCGGCTAAAGGCACATATCCGGTAAACGGAAATGTCAGCTAAATGTCCTATCGGCAAAGTGTCACGGACCCGTATCGATGTTAAAGTTTTCTCTACCAGTTATTATCAAGCTTCATCAAATAACAGGAAAATTCACGATTTTATTACTGTAACACCTGAGCAACCAGCTAATAATTTGCGTCTAGTTTTTAAAATATGTTTTGGTTCAATGTGCTTTCAGTTGTATACACTAATGTTGAATATGCGAACAAGCATAATGTTTTCCACTTTTAATGCAATATTCGGTAACTTACACGAAGCATTTTTAAACTGGCTTTCTATTAAATGATTATGCCTAGCTATAAGATAGTAGTAAGATTTCTGGATCATGTTAAGGAAGGCTAAATTAAGCTTAATGCTCGATAAGTTAAATGTATAAGATACTTTATCGACTTAATGATATCTTCAACTTACTGTGGGTAAGAGAGAAAAAGCAACTGTGTAAATTTGAAACATCAGTTCTGCTACTTCTTTTGACGCATGATTTAATACTTTTCATTAATATATCCATTAAAATAAAATATTATTGCAGTACTAAACTGGATAAAAAATGTTAAAGCAATTTTAGCAAATAAACCTTTATTTGGTTGTCAAAGATGTGCATTTTAAAAAAACCATAAGTTGAGTTTTTATCGACGTATTTGCTCACAAAGATATCGATTAATCATATTCTCCTATTCTTAAGATACTAGATAATATTTTTAGGCTGCAAAATAAACATAAATCAACAGGAAGAATTTTTCTTAAACTATTAATTATTCTGTACAGAAACTTGTAATTATAAAACTAAAAACTAGATCCTTGTAAAAAGTTAAGCGACTTATCATCCGTCTTATACTTAGAAAGAAGTCTGTGAAATCCAAGATAAAGTTGCGAATTATCTGTTATGCACTTGAAAAACACGTTGCTAGTTTCAGCGTCTGCAGTGTTCCCGAATATTGATAATTTTGTATCAACCATGAAGTCGAAATCTTCGCATTAAAATTATTTTTTCTTTTCACTTATATTATTTAAGAATATTATTTTAGATTATATTTTATATTTTCAAAGATTTTATGGTGGAGTTTATATGAAACGACAGAGATATTAATTAATTAAGATGTGTTCTCTTTTTGTATTTTCAGATAATTCCTAAAGTGCTCCGGTCCAACTAATATTTCTAAGTTCCAATCCGGCCAATAGTCTTGTCAAAGCTGCACACGCCTACTCTAAGAGCTGTGCGATAAATAGTAGAAAGGTTAACGGTCGATGCCATAAAATTCTCTCCTAACTTCAAAATCTCTGTTTTATATGCACATTAATTAATTTGAATCCTGGTGCGAGCCGCTGAAAGTAGAAGAGGCAGTAAATATTAAGATAGTGCATTAGTAAAAAAAAAATTCTATTTTAAGAAACATATGCACTCACTTATCAACTAAAAACACTAGGATTGAAAACTTTGTATGAATACAACTGTTTTTTTCTGACACTTTTATGACTTTGATGGAAAGGATATCATCAAAAAATATATTAACTAATTCTGTTCACGAGAGAAGAGGATTTTTTTCATTAACAAAGGCAAGAGATACGCAAGAAAACCAGTTTCAGCTATTATTTCTCTGTTGGTGTGTAATGGATTATTTTTATTCGTTGTGAATGCTTCTGTGATAAGTAAATAATCTTTAAGCACAAAAAAAAATTAACTCTGGAATTTCTAAACTTTCCTTAATAATCACAAAAAGCTGCAACCTGAAAGATTCAGATTGATGAAATATTCAGATTCAGAAAATGGAAACCAGGGTTCACTGAAACGAAACTAGTGATATATAAGGAAAGTCGAAAGTTTCACCTTTCCTTAAAATCTCAGACCACAAATGGTTTACCATTTAAGTTTAAAAAATTAAAAATACATTGAAAATGTATAAAAGGAAAAAGAAATTGCAGTCTTATTTTCATTATGGTGCTACTTTGGTAGACGGTTGCACGGATTTTGGCGATTTTTTGGCGAGTAATACAACTTATGGTAAACCCACTGCTAGATAAGTTATTTATGGTAACCGATACTTTGTTGTCATTTTATTTAAAAAATAATGTGTTTTATTGTGCATAAATTCCGTCATTAAATATTATTTATGGCTTCTAAATATTAAAAATCAATTTAATTTTGCATTTTTATTTGAAATAATTTTTTTTTTTTTTTGTTTATCATATTCTATGAAATTTTATGTTGTGGATGATGTAATCAATGACGCACCTTACTTTAAAAGTAATTGGTTTTAATATGTATAAATTTAATCTAATGTTTTAAACATATTTATGGCTGTTAAATATTAAATACAATTTAATTTTTGCATTTTTTTTAAAATGATTTTATTATGTATGAATTTTTAAACAAATTTAATTCTAGGCGTGATGTAATAAGCTCTCTGATTGGTCATAGAATATTTGTGCATTAACGAGCTGTAATCAGCTCCCTGATTGGTTACTGAAAATTTGTGCATTTCCGCGCCATTTTAAAATTTAATTCCTTTCTTGGAATTCCTTCAAAGATGTCTCTCTCTAAAATGAATGTTGTTATTGGTAAGTACCAAGAATTATTGGTATCGGAATCAAAAAATTGTCCTTTGAGACCTTATTTTGGCCAGCCTGGCTTTCCTAATCAAAGATTTGTTTACAAATTGTTACAAGGGTCAGAGGAAATTTATTTTAAGTTTTTGGAAGAAACCTCGCTAATTGCTTCTTCAATGAAGTGCGAGAAATGTGGATCACAGATGAAGATGGTTAAAAGAGCCGATTCTAAGGATGGCCGTATATAGTATTGTGGTCACGGTGGAAGAAATAATCGCTGTAACGGTAAAAAAAGTATTAGACATTCCTCCTTTTTTACCGGCAGTTGCTGTCATTTTAGCTCTAGTGTACGAAATATTCATGGGTTCTTCATACAATAGAAT